TATGACACTACGCAACAACTATTTCAAGTACAATTTGTATCCCAAACCTCTGAATCTAACATGTAAAGATCAATACATGACATCTCATTACTCACAGTCAATCATGCTTATACCTACGAATTATCAGCTCACACAATCTATCTTCAAATGCAACCATTGTGTCCTCACACCAAAGAAGTCCCTTGCTCATAATTGTAGGGACTGAGTACTACGCTCACGCTCTCTATAAACTTCTAACACTAACAACAAACTACCATAGGCTTGCCCTTGATTTCTATGCTTTATCTTTAAAAAACCATGAATAGGATCACTGTAGGACTTTATTGGCTTGTAACATAGGCTCGGGCTAGGGAATGGATATTTGGTTTCGTGAGTGACTAATCCCTTGGCTTTCCAAAGTTTCGTTTTCGCATACTTTTTTCTCAGTGATTCCCTCTTTTTCTTTATTTCAGTACGACCCAGTAGCTATTATTTTCTTTTTCTTTTTCTTTTCTTCTTTTTCTGTTCTTTTCTCTCTCTTTTTATGCAATTTTGATATGCACTTAGCTCACTGGTTGAACCTTCTTTTTTCCATTTTTTCTTTCTGTTCGGATTGCAATCACCCTCAACTTTAGGCTTTTTGGCCTGAGTTGTGATATCGTACCTTCGGAGAACCAAGGATATGATATATGTTGGGTAAGAACAAAGACTGATTTAAGGCTCAAATTGGGTTCAAGTGATAAGCTTTTCATTTGGTTCTTTTATTTTTGGCTTTTTCCTAGTTTAACAAAAATGGCCTACTAATCCTTTCCTATCCAGTTATTCTCAGATTCGAGCAAGATTACTTAGGCAAGTTCTAGTTTCTGCTCTTAGTGTTAGACTTCAATCAAAACTTACACACACACTAGACAGGATTGCATTTTTTTTAGTTTCTTGGTTCACCAATTAATTGGTCAGATTAGCCATGTTCAACATATCAATATCTAAGATGTCATCTAAAGATCCTAACAGTCCAACTCAGATTCAGGTCCTCAATTTTCAAAGATTAGCTACTGCATAGCTCAACACATAAAACACCCAAAATAGTAATGCACAGAGACAACCTCCATTTTTTTCTAATAACTATGACAGGTTGGTCACCACCCCCTCCCCAAATAAAAAAGACTTTACCCTCAAAGTCGATACAGAACAATAAAACACACGGGCTATGAGGAGGGGTCATACCTACGGTGCTTTAGGCACCGATCGTCGGATCAGCATTGGCACCTTTATCAATGGGTGCACTCTCAGAACTCAAGACCTGATCAGTTTGGTCCTCACTAGCCGGAGCAGGTGCTCCACTACCAACAGCACCAATTAAGGCTGCATCTTGCTTTTGTTGCTCCCGGGCTTCTTTTTCTCAAGCTGCCTTCTATGATGCTCGACGAGCTTTCTTTTCCTTCCACCTTTCCTCTTCGGCTAAGTTATCAGGTGTCTCTTCATCAGATTCTCCATCATTTTTCTTTATCTTGCCGGATTTTCTCTTAGGGGCCTCCCCCCAGAACTCATCAAGTGACTGTGTAGATGGTTCCTGAGTTAGCATCTACATCAACAACTCCTGCATCAACAACTCTGGCATGACCGGAGTGGGCACCTGTACTGGCTTTTCAACCAGCTTAGCAATCTGAGTGTGCATCTCGGCCAACTGGGTTGTGAACTGTTCAGTATCTGCTGAATCGGCAGCCTGGAATCGATCCTGTACAAGGTTCTCCAAACCATCCATTTTGTCCTTTAAGACCGGTAGCTCCTTCCGTATCTCATCTTTGATCTCCTTTTTCGCAGCTATCACTTTTGTCTCTATTAACTGAGGCATCCTGTTGACAATCTGATCGACCAGGGTCCTGGTTTGGCGCTTATCTGCAACCAATTTCTCAAGAAAAAGCATAGGGATAGTGACAAAGGTAATTGGGGACTGGGAGGCTGAAGCTGGAGGTGGTGGCGCATCTGAGGAGGAAGGTTGTGATGACTCTCCCTGTATTGGGCCTCTATATGCAGGTGGAATATCGATTGGTACGTGAGGGACAACAACTAATGTACTTGCAGTTGCAGATTTTGTACCAAAGAGATAGTTAGCAACCTCTTTGATTTTGGAGACTTGAATGAGTCTGAATGCATCACACCATCTGTCAACTAACCCGTTTGGGGGAATATATGCTTGTCTACACAATTTCCTTATCAGACGGGGAAATAAAAGTGTGGCTCTCTCATTTAGCGCCCTTTCTCTCATCTCGGTCACTGTAACCCGTCCCACATTCACTGGGTAACCAACCATAAGACATGCCACAAACGAGGACAGGGAAGGGGACAAAGTGTTATCATTAGCTGTCGGTCACAATTGTTCCCGAACGACAGCCCATCAAACCTCTGCTGGAAAAGACAGCAAAGGTTTAGTAATGAGTCTTGGAGTTGTGGTAACCCAAACTGCATTTTCCCCATCTATTGCAATCTGCTTCACAATCCAGCATAAAACCTTCTCGAGAGAGTCTTGTTCTTCCATTGTGGCATAACTTGTCACCTCATGATGTTTGCCCTCGAAAAGACCAACTGAAGCTGGTGCAGCGTATTCTGGGCCATGCAACATTCTGTTAATCGAAGCCTCGGAAATGTCTGTTAATTTACCCCGAACTATGATTGCGTTGAGTGGAGCCCAGGTAATAGCCATGTCTTTCTTCCCATGTTTCGTGGTCTCCGTATCCGCAGCAAAATTCATCAAAATAGCTGCATAAGAGGAGTGAAATTCTCTGGTCAGGTGTGTAGAGTACTCTCCAGGTGCATTGTCCATACAGTCGAACTGATGAAGCTGAAATATCCGATAGATGTCCGAAAATGCTTTGATATCAACTACAACCACCCTAGTCTTAGGCATGATTGCTCGATTCTTGAAGCCTCCAGTTTTGTTCACAATGCCATTGTCGAAGAACTCTTTAGACCGGTTGACAGTCCACATGGAGTGATAACAGGTAATCAGTTATGGTCTTAATGCAAGGTTACGTTCCTGAGCGTTCGCATACATCACCATGGTATTATCATGGCTGATTTCCTCCTCATCCTCTCTATTAACTGCTTCCTCTCGTACTTCAGTTTCAGCTTCTGTATTAGCCACAGGTGGAGAGGTACTTTTGTCGTTCTGAGAACCGCTTTCAGATTCAGCACTACCCCGCGAGTCGTCCACAGAATAGCTACCAGCAACAACATCATCATCAGATTGACTTCCCAAGTTTTCCCCATTATCAGAACTACTACCTCCCTCTTCAGCCTGAGGAGGAGAGTCCTGGAGAATAGCTCTTCTTGGTAGTGATCTAGTTGCCCCAGGCGAGTGATCTTCAGGTGTAACATTTATTTGCACCTCAGACCCACTCGCTTTAGAGTCGTCATGACCTTCTGATTGCGAAGCACTGACGGGGGCAGGTTTGTTAGCATTCTTTCTCTTGGGACCCATTGTACCTGAGAAATAGAGAGCTCATTAGTAATCAACACAGTCAAATGACTCACTATCGGGTACTCAGAATTCCCCCATGTAATATCATCGTGACGCCTTGCCTTAAGAATGCCGTCACCCAATCTATCATCGAGAAGGGCCACAAAATCAAAAGACGAGCACAAACTAAGTATAGAAAAAAATAAAAATTACAAACAAGGGAACTCTACGGGAGCTTGCACGGGCCGTGGCATGGACCACAGACCGTGAAATCCCTCGTGGAGTTGAAATAGAATCAGTGTGCACAAGGGGTCTTTCACCATTTCACCAAGGGATGTTCACGGACGACTTCACGGCCCATGGAGTGCACCACGGTCCATGATACTACCCCTGAACTTTAACTGAGGGATGGGTTGACTTCAAGTGTGGTCTACGACAAGCTTCACGGCCCGTGGTATTTTCCATGGTCTGTACAACCTGTCGTAGGCTTACACATTGGGAAATATGTCAGTCACCTTCTTCCCAGCATCGAATTTTAGCACTTAACCACTATTTTTACACAATTACAAGCTCTTCCTATAACTTAAGCTTTACCCTACTTCTTAATCAACTAAATTAACTAACCTAAAGTTCACCACCTACCAATAAATTTGACCCTCTGTTATAGACCAACACACAAGAAAAACTAAAACATCCTAATTCGACTTACCCACTACAATTTAGTATCAATTAGCAATTAATCATTACAAGGTCATGTTAAACTCAAGAAAATTGAAGTCATCATACATAGGTGTAGACAAGATTGAACTTTGCAAACCATTCAAAATTAACTTACTTAGAAATAGTGACAAAGCCAAAATCTAGAATTAACTTGACACGATTACACAACTGAGCACTTAGCCTTCGATTCTTCCCTTAGATAGCCGTTATGGAGGAGAAGAATAGGAAGAAAATGACTCTTTAGCCTTCGGAATCGAATAAATACATTTTAATTTTGAGTTGGGTTACGCGAGGGTCGGGTCGGATAAATGGTATTACTGAGTAGTGAATTACGGGCTGTGAAATTACCCGTGAAGGGCATCACGGTCCGTGAACCAGTCCGTGACAATGACTTGACAAATAAACTTACCTGAGGCAGACGACGGACCGTGAAGTTGCCCGTGAAGGGCATCACTGTCCGTGAAACTTTCCTTGATGTTGACTTGGAACTGAAATTCATACCTGAGGTTCACGAGATGCTAGACGGTCCGTACAAGCTCTAACGGACTGTGAACCCTTCCGTGAACCTTTTTCGTGCAATTTCCAGTAGCTTCCTTAGGTTGGTCCTCAAGTTGACGGACCTTGAAAGTGCCCGTGAAGGGTACCACGGTCCGTGAAGTTTAGTCTGCAGTAGGTCCTGCATTTTTTTCGCCTATTATCTCCTGCACACATCAGAACACAGTGACTCTATAATAACAAAAAAAAATAAGGCAAAAGGGAACATATCTAATACAATTACATCTTGGGTTAACTCCCAAGCAGCGCACAATTTAACGCCGCGGCGCGACGCAGGTTACTTGATTACTCAGACTTCATCAAGTTTGCATTCCTCTACAGTCTTCACATCCTCAAGAGTACCCAAATATGCCTTGACTCGCTGACCATTAGCTTTGAACCTCTCTCTTTTCTCATTTTCCAGTTCAATAGCTCCAGATTGAAAAACCTGTGTGACATTAAAAGGTCCAGATCATTTAGATCTCAGCTTTCCTGGGAACAGACGAAGTCTGAAATTGAAAAGTAACACCAAGTCACCAGGAGTGAAGCCTCTTTTCTAAATATGCTTGTCATGATATAGCTTCATCCTCTCCTTATACAGTGCTGATCTCTCATAAGCTCTCAGACGGAACCCATCTATGTCATTGATTTGATACAACCTCAAGTTCGCAGTTTTTGCTCCAACTGAGGTTTAGCTTCTTCAATGCCCAGAGTGCTCTATTCTCAAGCTCAACGGGAAAATGACATGCCTTTCCAAACACCAGTTGATATGGAGACATACCAATAGGTGTGTTAAAAGTTGTCTGATATGCCCAAAAGCATCATCCAGCTTCCTTGCCCAATATGTCCTGTTGGCATTAACTGTCTTGGCCAAGATTGCTTTAATCACCCTGTTAGAAACCTCCACTTGTCCACTGGTCTGTGGGTGATAAGGTGTTGCCACCTTGTGTTGTTTTACCCCATACTTGGTCAGAAACGCACTGAACACATTGTTGCAAAAGTGAGAACCACTATCACTAATAATGGCTCTGGGTGTTCTAAATACAAATTTCACCTCATTCTCCAAAATCTTTCACATGGGGTGTGCAGTTTTGGAGAAGTCCTTGATGAAACCCCTATAGAATCCAGCGTGGCCTAGAAAGCTTCTAACACCCTTCACACGGATTGGCGGAGGTAACTTTTCAATCACTAGAATCTTGGCCTTATCGACCTCTATCCCTTTATGTGATACTTTGTGTCCCAGGACTATACCTTCCTTTACCATGAAATGGCACTTCTCCCAATTCAGTACTAGGTTGGCCTCATTACATCTCTGTAAAGCCCTGCTAAGATTCAACAAACAGTCATCAAAAGTATCACCTACTACAGAGAAACCATCCATAAATACCTCTAGAGTATCGGCAACCATGTCCGAGAAGATAGACATCATACACCTTTGGAATGTCATTGGTGCATTACATAGTCCAAATGACATGCGTTTAAACTTAAAGGTTCCAAAAGGACATATGAAGGTAGTCTTTTCCTGATATTTAGGAGCAATTGATATATGGTTGTAGCCAGAGTATCCATCTAAGAAACAATACCACCCTTGACCTGCCAACCTATCAAGCATCTGTTCCATGAAAGGCATGGGGAAATGATCCCTCTAAGTCCACTTGTTGAGCTTCCTGTAGTCCATACATACTCACCATCTAGTGACTAGTCTTTGTGGGAATAATTTATTTTTGGCATTTGCCACCATAGTCATACCGCTTTTTTTAGGCACACATTCCACTGGACTGACCCAGTGACTATCAGAAATGGGATAAACCACCCCAGAATCTAACCACTTGATTATCTCTTTCTTAACCACCTCTTGCATAGGTGGATTTAGCCTCCGCTAGTGTTCAATGCTTGGGCTGCAATCTTCCTTAAGCTGAATCTTCTAGGTGCATATACCCGGAGGTATTCCAATTATATCAGCAATGGTCCACCCAATGGCCCTTTTGTACCTTCTCAACACCGTGATCACCCCTTTCACATGCTTTTTATTTAAATTTGCAGGCAAGATCACATGTAAAGTGTTATTAGTATGCTAAAATACATACCTGAGGTGACTGGGTAACTATTTTAGTTCCAGCACCGGTGGCTCTTCGATGGATGGTTTTGCTGGAGGGGTAGGTGTATTTTTCAAGTCAAGGTCCACTTTCGTTGGAGCATACGAGTGTGCTCCCATACCCTGCAAAGCATTCACGGTCTCTATATAGTTAGACCAGAAATTAGCATCAAAGTTCATCAGCACTGCAGCTAAGGTTTCAACAGCCATCCTCTCTTCTATGGGTACCCTCATGTCCTCATTATCAACCACCTCTATTGCAGATACCACATTCATATCATTGGGTTTCTTCATTGACCTGCAAATATTGAACTTTACCTCATCCTTGTTCAGTCTGAACTTCAGCTCACCTCTTCCAACATCTACCAAGGCTTTCCCTGTTGCAACAAATGGTATTCCCAAAATGATGGGGACCTGAAAGTTCACCTCGCAATCCAAGATCACGAAGTCAGCCAGAAAAATGAAGGTGTCCTCCTTTAAAAGTACTTCACATAAGACTCCCACAGGCTACTTAACTGACCTACCAGCCATCATCAACCTCATTGTTGTGGGTCTTGGAACTCCCAATCCCAGTTTCTTGTAGATGGCTAGTGGCATCAAGTTAATGTTGGCTCCTAGATCACACAACGCTTTTGCAAAGTTGATAAACCCGATGGTTCATGGAATAGTGAATGCATCTGGGTCTTCTTTTTTCTGAACCAAAGATCTGGTAGCAATGGCGTTGCAATGGTGAACATCATTATTAAAATCAAGACTTACAACTCTTTTCTTTGTAACCAAGTCCTTCATGAACTTGGCATATCCTGGCATCTGCTCCAGAGCTTCCACCAGTGGAATGTTTACTGAAAGATGCTTCAACATGGTAATGAATTTTGTAAACTTCCTATCTTCAACTTTCTTTCTAAGCCTTTGACGGAAAGGAGGAGGTGGTCTGGTAATTTGCTGTAAAGGCAGGTTTTCCTTGACCTCTTTCTCTTTTCCTCTCGCGGGTTATGATTTATGCTGAACCTTCTCTGAGTTATCTACCTGTACGGTTTCATCCTCATCTCTGCCAGCTTGCTCCAAGACCTGTTCATGTTTGGTACCTGAAGACATAGGGTTAGTAAGAACTTTACAACTCCTGGTGGTGATGGCCATGCAGTGCCCGTCCTTCTTGGGATTCTGAATGGTGTCACTTGGTAGTGATCCATTCTTCCTCTGATTCAGTGAGGCTGAGAGTTTCCCCAACTGCTGCTCAATTTGTTTAATGGAGGTGGTGTGAGAGTCCACCAACTGACTCATGCTTGAGAAATCACATCTCATTTCTTTCACCCCTGCATCAGTTGATTCAACCTTCTGGAGTACTTTAGCCATCATATCTTCCAGCTTAGATCCGCTGGAACTACCATCTGCCCGGTTTCTATTGCATGGGGGCTCATAAACACCACTGTGATAATTCCCATACCCCTCTCTATTTTTCCAGTTTCCTTGATCTCTATTTGATGGCCTATCATACTAACCATCCCTAGCATAGTTTCGACCTGCGTTTCTAGAATTGTAACCCTAATTTCCAGAGTGATAATTTCGGAAACCCCCTTGGTTCCCCATGTAATTAGCTTCCTCATCAAGGTCAAGATCCTGATCCTCATACCTAATTTGTTGTCCTACAACATTCACCTTTTCAGACTTGGCGACAATGTGCTTTGTGAGCAAATCTATTTGAATCCTCATATGTGTCATGTCTTTGTCCCTTTCTTCTTCTCTCTTCCTCTGTTCAGCTGAAAGCCCAAATGTATACCCAAGCTCTCCTACCTCTGCATCTCTAGTGTACCATGCTCTATTTTTCTTTGAGACCTCATCCAATAGTTGCATGCTCTCCACAAATGACTTCCTCATAAATGAGCCTCCACAACCTGCATCAACAATAGGTTTAGTAACATAATTCATAGACCTATAAAAGGCCTATTTAAGATGCCATTCGGTAAGATCATGGTTGGGGAATTTCTTCAGCTTTTGGCTGAACCTCCACCAAGTATCATACATTTCCTCTCCTGGTAGCTGCTTGTGTGTACTAATCTCATCATTCATCTGCAGCTCTTTTGATTCTGGGAAGAATCGTTCCAAGAAAGCTTCCTTCGACTCATTCCAAGTTCTAATGGAGTCATTTGGCATCTCATTCAACCAGTTAGTCGCCTTTCCAGTAAGAGACAATGGAAACAGCCTCAACCTCATTGCTATTTGGTTGACCCCAGGAATCTCTTGTGACTTACAGATTGCCATAAAATTCATCAAGTGCGGATTTGCATCATCACCAGCTGCACCTTTAAACATACCTTCCAGGTTCAGCAATTGGATCATGGTGTTGGTGATTGTGAACTTAACACCTAGGGGTAGTGCAGGTAACACGATTGCTGCAATGGCTCCAGCTCCATCCAAGTCAGCATCATCTTCTTCATACATCATATGAGTTGGATGTTGAGCTCTACCCCTTGGGGCTATTGGTTGGCACTGGGGATGGACTACTCCTTTCAACCCTCTGTTCTCATCTACTACCCTAGGTTCATTGATTCCAGCATTTTGCTGGACACCTGGCCTAGGTTGATTGATTCCTGCAGTTTGATGTACATTCCTTGCAGCATCAATCTCAGCTTCTAGTCCCAGTCTGTGTCTTTGAACCTCTAGTTCGTGTGCATTAACCATCTTTCGAAGAGTTCTCTAAACTTCAGGGTGGTAAGGAAGCAATGGGGCCCCTTCGCTTCTAGTGTTGGGCATGCACATTCTGACTCTCCTGAAAAAGACACAAACACCAAACAAAATGTAAAATTAGGAAATATAACTACAATTGAATAAAAGCTAGTAAAACACTTCTGAATTGAAATTCCCCGACACCAGCGCCAAAAATTGATACGTCCTAACTTACACTTCAAATAAGAAGTGTAAACGGTCGATGTCAATAGACAGAACTCAACTAGAGTTGAGGTCGATCCCATAGAGAATTTCTTTACAGATAAGGTTTTACTGTCCTGTTTATTCGAATGTTGTTATTATCTCCTAAACAAATAGCAACGAAAAGTAAATTGGGTTTGGTGGAAATGTGTGTTAATTTTGAATCTTGCAATTACCAAACTTGCAGTCAAAATCTAGATTCGCGACTAACAGACTATTTCGTTGTAAGGTTGATTCAGTCAATTAAGAGAAAGCAGGATTGTGTTCATCATAACATTAGTTCAAGTGTTCTTCCGTAATTGAGCATCAGGCAAATCAATGTTTACAAAATCATTGTGAGTTAAATATATCTGACACATCTCAGTCAAATCAGATAATTATCACTCATTTTCTCTCGACCCTAGAGTGTTACTAACATTGACCCTCACTTAAAATTATATGGTGTTAAAGATCTTTTCTCTCGAACTCAAGTTTTAACTCCAATTGGATAATTTAGTTCAATTTTTTCCTAACTGGTATTTTTCTCTCGAACAAATACCAGATACCGGCTCATCTAATGCATGCACCCACTAGATTACAATGATATCTAAAGCTAAAGACTACAGAATGTAAACACAAACTGCCCTTTATATGTTTTACGAAATCGTAACTAGAACTTCGTCACGGATCACACAACCCTAGTCGTGGTATTTAGTTACTTATGCTTTCACGTAAACAATTAGTAATTAGGGATGAAAACATAATGAGAAAGACTTACGAAAGTACTTAGGAAATTAACAATCACTTTGATAATCTGATAGTGTAAATCTGAATTTCCAACTGATAGCAATAATTAAAAGTCCAAAAATCGAAAGCTAAGAGTAACGCTCTCTTCTTCGACCTCAAATGTAAGATAGTCAATAGTATAATTTTATAAATGACCTAAAGTAATTCAAAATAGAATGTTTAAAATGAGTCCTAATCGAATTAGGACTAAGTTGTCGGGCCTTTTCACGGCCACTACAACGACCTGTCACCGTGAAGCCCTTCGTGGTCTTGCCTTGGAGCTTCCCGAAAGTGGGTCTTCAAACTTGGTCACTAGAAAATGCACCACGAGAGCTATCACGGTTCGCAATGAGGACCACAGCCCATGAAGACGACTGTGGTCTTCACTTGGGTTTCAACCCTCTTTCAACTCTTTCTTGCTTTCACACTGGTTCATCTTCACGGCAGCTACCACGGTCCGTAGTGAGGACTACGGCACGTAGAACCCTCCGTGGTCTTCACTTGGTTATTCTTGCTTTTCATCTTCTCAAGGCCCAACACTGCCTCACTTTCACGAGCTCAACCACGAACTGTAAAGAAGTTAACGGTTCGTGAAGTTGGTCGTGAACTTCACTTGGTCAACA